GGGGTAGAAGATAGCCTTTTAAGTGGAGTTGCAAAAATGTATAAACCATGATCATTTTGTTTGTTTGTGGCTTCACTTCTTTATAATGGGGAGACTTTGTTTCTTTGCTGTCAGCTACAGGGTGCCCTGCCTTAATAAAAGAAATTTTAGGCTTTTTACTTCCATATCAGTATTATTATTGTTATTATTATTATTATTATTAATATGGGTTGTTATTAGGCATATATTGTCCTGTGCAATGTGTCATTCTTACAGCATTATTGTGGTTATACATTAAACATTGTGGCAAATCGAGGGCCCTGTTTTTCACCGTTATTGCATGGACGACATAAGCTCAACATCGGAAAGACGGATGGTGCATTGGACGCATTGCAAATGAGAAGGTTTACGCTTGCATTCTCCTCGCTGAAGGCCAAGACAAATCGATGCAATTTTGACACTGAGGGTGGTGGTTCGATTCATCAGCGTTTTGGAAATGGGAACAATATCCGGCCATCATTTTTGATAACGCCTCTCTACTGAGACAGTGTAAGGATATTATGAGAGCCTTTCTCAGGATATCTACCCTGGAAATCTTATTGGGGATAATGTCACACATGTCCCTTGTTCAGATGTGACACTTACAGCGATCTTCAGGTCTCAGACAATTCTAGCTATCTGCATATCAGGACTCAGACATTTAGACAAAAATCCCAGCAATGCGTCATGGGAGTTACAAGTGAAATCACACTAGTGGCTTCGTGAGTGAATTAAAAATTGGGGCCTTCCTCTGCAATTTGTCTTTATTTAACGTTATTTAATCCAAAGATTACTTGATGTATTGCAGGTGGCTGAGTGGGTGGGGGGTGACCTTATATTTGCATTAATTTTTTGGCATGGTTTTAAGCTGCTGGTGCAAGACCAAATGTAACAGATTAAGCAATTAGATCCTGCTATTTATTCATTATGAGACACACACACACACACACACACACACACACACACATCCCAGAATGCCTTGCATTGCTTTACTTTTTGAATCAACTAAAGTAAAGTTAGGAGTTACTAATAAAATATTATGAACTGAAATGACTAATACTGGGTAAGTGAATTTGAAATGATTTCAATACAAAAAGCGCAAGGATCCACTCTCACTATTCAGCCTATAATTGCACTAATTTTCAGGGTGTGAGAAGTCTATAAAAATACTGGAGTGATTAAAATAAAAGCCATAATGCAGAGAAGTGCAATCAAACTATCCGTGGAGAAACAGTACAAGGGAAGATTTATGAAGCTGTTTCTTCCTCAGCGTCAAGGATTGAGTTCAACAGATGCAGAGAGGGATGGGGGTCAGTAGCTATTTCAAGACATCAGCTTGTATGGAAATCCAGCATTTAAGATAATTTGGCTAATGCTGCTAACTAGCTTGCTTACATGCCCAAGCTACGCAATCTTGATTCACAAGAATATCAGAGAAGGGCCCTCCTGGGACTCAAACCTACAACCTCATCTTCATTCTTATGGATACCATTGATGGGCCCCTCCCAGGACTCAAACCTACAACTTCATTCTGATTCTCAAGGACACCATAGATGGGCCTCTCCTAGGACTCAAACCTGCAACCTCATCTTGATTCTCAAGGAAACCACAGATGGGCCCCTCCTAGGACTCAAACCTACAACCTCATCTTGATTATCAAGGATACCATAGATGGGCCCCTCCTAGGACTAAAACCAACAACCTCATCTTGATTCTCAAGGATACCATAGATGGGGCCCTCCTAGGACTCAAACCTACAACCTCATCTTGATTCTCAAGGACACCATAGATGCGCCCCTTCTGAGACTCAAACCTGCAACATCCATCTTGGTTCTCAAGGACAACAAGATGGGACCCCTGGGACTCGAACCCACAACCTCAAGAGCTAACTCATGTGAAGAGGCTGCGTACATTATTCTGGCAGTGCTGATGAAATAAAGAGGCAGGTAGCCACTACAGTACTGCAAATACATCTTTGAAAATAACTGCATGATTCACGGTTCCCAACTGTGCAAAATACCATTATGAAAATATCTGTCAAATGTCTTATAAAAGGCAGTGTGCAAGACGACTTCAAAGGACCCCCTCTTTTCTATACTTCCCTTCTGGCATGCTTAATTAAAGCAATTAAGCTGTCCTAAAACAGACTAGTGGAACCATTTTTCCCATTGCAATAATCCAGACATCCTATTGGGCTTCATTTTGATAACAAAAAAAACAAAAAAGAAAAACATCCCCTGCTTGTAGTCCATGAACTAAAGGCACTGATATTCAACGAGCCTGGATTTCAGAGAAATTAACGAGTCCTGCTCAGAAATAACAGGAATTTAAAGCTGCTGTCCATCTCCCTGTGTGTCATAATCCTTCAAACATCACATATCACGGGCTGTCCAATCAGACGGCAGATACCCTGGCAGGGTTCGCAGTGAAGCTGACGATCAGGCAGCCCTTTGCCAAATCATCTGGCTTTTGTTGGCAGACGACTTCAAGCCTGGTCTGATAATTAGAGCACAGCTCCTGGTTTCGTACCTTCCCTTAATCCTCTTTGAGTTTGATAACCAGTCCATTTGTAAGCAAGCACATAAAAAAAAAAAAAGCTGATATAACCATGCGGTAAATGTTTAGCCCTCAAACTGGAATGCAAATGCGGATTGGCACTAACGTCTGTGACTCAAAAATTATGTTTAATTGCCTTAAGGGGGGGAGACGGAGTTTTAATGCATGCAGATAATTCGGCCCAGAGTATGACAGCATGGTTCGGCATCGGCCTTGAGAGCAAATCTGCGCTGACAGCTTAATTTCATATGTTTAGCAGGGGGGGGGGGGGATTGACGAGATGAAAACAAGAGCAGCCAAAGGCGGGGGGAGTTGGAATCAGGATGCCGTGTATTTACCGTTAATCTGTAGACGTGTGAGTACCGTGGAAATTAAATTCTTAATCACGTTCGGTTTACAATGAAGCAAACATTTGTGTTACGGCAACTTCATTAGCAGCAGGTTAGCACCCAAAAAGGGCAGGTGGGGGCCTCTTATTTACGTGTCTTAAAGTGATACGACTCAAGCAACAGGCATTGAGAGTAGGTCATACAGTATGATTATATATGTGGTCATGAGTCTAAGTCAACTGGCATTTTGAGAATCAAGCAATTTCAATTACAATTTATATATTTAGCAGATGCTTTAATCCAAAAAGAGCAATTAGGGGCTACGGGCTTTGCTTATGGACCCAACCTTGAAACCACTCTGCTGACCCTGGGATTTGAACCAATGACCTTCGGATCACTGTGCCTAAATCCGCTGAACCACACGCCCGCAACACAATGAAAGCTTCAAGATGCAAACACATTAATCCAACAGAGAACATTAGCTAATCAAGCTGTACCATGTGACATTAGAAATGGCCTTGAACCCCTTCCTCCTTGTCTGAGCCCCAAACTGCTGTCAATTACAGTCCCAGGTTATCTTAACAACTTTCAGTTCCCATAGCTCCAGGCACTAGTAGGATTCAGACAGGTAAAGGTCCTGAAGACCCCTCCAGGAGGTTTCGGATCAGAAATCTGCAAATTCCCATGTGCAGAGGCCAATGGCCAATCACCACAGATCATTTCAAGAAATCAAGTGGGCCGAGTTCCTCAAACATCAGCACTGACATCCAAGAAGCTAAGCAGGACCAGATATTGTGCTTGAAACTTAGTACAAATTAAAGAACGTATTAGAATTTGTCTCACCTTAGTGTCCACAGCAATAAATATCCCTTAGATCTAATCTGAGATTGTAAGGTTCCTAAGATGGCCAAAATCATCAGTCAAGTTAAAAAATAAAATAATTTTAAAAGCCTTAATCTGTTACTGAGCACTGCTTTACGGCTGACATATACTCACAGTGTAACGGTTAGTTCTGAGAAGCCTACAAAGTTTACCCAGCCTGCTTCTTAACGCTACTTACTGCTATCAAATAGAAAGCACTTCAGCTCAGGAATCAAGATTTTCCCAGTTGTGCGTCTGCAGCCATTATGCGCAGACAAAAGCTCTGCAGATGGAAGGAGACGACGAGATGCTCTGTGACATAAACCTTGTGCCAGCCGGGGCAGGGAGGCAGAGCTGAGCATTCAGACAAAATGATACGGAGGGCTTTTCAAGGCCCTCAGGGGGTGTTATCAAACGTGGGCCCTCCTGTCGGCCTTTATGTTATTTTTAACCATTGTCAGCTCTGGGGAGAATGAAAACTACACCAATCAGAATGTAGATCAATCTCTAACAAGATCCGATCGGCATCGTCAGGCCCCCCGCGGCGTGGAGCTCCTCAGATCCACTCAAGACTTAATGAAGCTTAAACAAGCTTGTGAATCGAATCGATCCGTGACTGACTTTCTCATGTCTTTTAAAGGTGTCTTTTAAAGTCTTTTGCAAGCATGATGGCAATGACGTCGATGTCAGCTACACATTTATTGAAATAACTTCCATCCATAATTAAAGTTAACTGTGAAAAGGTAATCTGATCACTCATAAACAAACTGGCAGAAGTGGTTCTCAAAAAAATATTTTTGAGACCCACACACAGCCAGCTCTGAATAACATACTTAACTGTCACCAATAGTAACATAATTATTCCATATATGTGACTCTGAAATTGTTAAAATGATAACCACAGTAATCCCAAGTGAGCCACCCACACGGCCCCAAACATACAAGTAAACATCTCCAGTTCCGGTCCCTGAAAGTAACCGACCAACCATGGCATGATGCCATTAAGTTATAAGAATAATTGCATAACACATGCCTTAATTTAAGATGAAGAGGAAGGTACCACCCATTTTCTTGGCGGCAGCGACTGTGAATTTCCGGAAAGTTCAGCGTTCTTTCCACAGTTCAGCAGCAGAATAAATGTACTCATTAATTTGTATTCCTATACAAATTGCAACTGCATTAATACATCTACACTACGACACAGAGGAATGTATATTTCAGAAGACAAGTGCCAAAATATTTCCAAGTGGTGTTTATTTAAGAAAACGGTGATGAATACATGACCTGAAACGCAATACTCCATGTGTAGCCCTAATTATTTTTTTTTTTATTATTTTTTTTTTAACAACAAGTACAACCTTGTACAGCTGTTCGTCAGAACCGCCGTGTCCGCTGCTGGATGGGACGTGAATAATTACAAAAAACCTCAAGTGTCTGTCAAGTTAACAAAAAAGAAGAATTCCTCATCTTCTCTTCATCTTTGAATGCATCAATCAGTAAGCAAGTAAACCATTAAATAGACAATAAATAAATAAATACATAAATAAATAAATAGTCAAATAAATTAACTGATAAACCTTAAAATATCTTTGGCCTATTTAGGGCCGCTGCGTCTTTGCCAGGTGCCTTTATTTAGCGTGTTAATTAGCGATCGAACCGCCTACTGACTGCTAGCTTAACGCCACATTTCTGTCAAACCCAAATTCCAGCCTTTTTTACGGGCACTTGGAGTTACCAGCCAAAGGAGAACAAAAAAAGAGTCTTTGTGGGAAAATAAGGAAAATCAGTCTCTTGAGGCACTTTAAAATGAGTTTAAGGATCCTTGCATTCAATACCAGCCACGAGCCTTACTGGCGCATTGGCCTACATTTACAGAAAATCGGACAACCGGAAGGCTGGCTTGTCATCCTCTGACTCTTTCTCCTCAGATTTCTCCAAGGCAGCATCTCAAGAGCGAGGAGAGTGATAATATCCCTTAAAAGAGAAGCCAGTATTAAATAAACAGAAAACAAATCTGCCAAAAAAAACCCAAAAAAAAAACAGCAACAACAAAACGATAAAAATGGACGCAAAGGTGCCGATAACTGGTGTTAATGCTTGTTGTCCGTTAACTCTGACTGGGAGTCCTGCTCTCCAAAAATCCCCGCCAGAGTCTTGAAGCGCGGCCCCCACTCTCGGAGGTAATCATAGTCCTCCTCAGCCTCCCCCGCCAGCGACTCGATGGAGCTGAGAGAGCCGGCGGTGGAGCCGTTACCCTCGTAGGCGTATGTGGCCAACGAGTCGTATGGAGGTGCCAATCCGTCGACATCGCTCTCCCGTAGTCGCCGGTGAATGAAGTCGCACATGTCAGCGCCGTCCTGAGAACCAGGGGCTGGCCTTGGGAGGGGGGCGGATTCGGGCCTGACGTCCCGGCGGGAGGGGCCCTCTTTCATTGTCTTGGGGTTCCTCAGGGCACCCATGTCGAAGGCCTGTGTGTCCTCTTCACCGCCGCCCTCGTCGTCGTAGTGGATCACGTTGTCTCGGATATCCTCCTTGGAGGTCATGAGGGTCTCCATCTTCTTCTGCCTCCTCAGACCCACGTAGAGGACGACGATCACTGCGTAGGAGCACAGGACGGGTGGTCATGCTCACACGCACGTTTCAGATACACATTCTTTAGCGGCACGACCCACCAACACTCAGGCGAGACTTACGACCACAGATTTTTCAGATCAAACTCTCCCTACGTGGCTGTCCTGATGAAAGTACCTAGGTGAGTGACTAGAGATGTATGAAATGAGTGGCCAAGCCTGAACTTGGGGAACTTCGATGGAAATATGAGATGTCAAACCAAGGGGGGGGGAGGAATGGTGTTGTCTGCAAGCTACTACTGAACCCCAGAAAACAGCTCTAGTGATGCTCCTGCTGTTTTGTTTCTTTGTTTGTTTGTTTTTGTCTAAATATAAAAGACGAAAACAAGATTCAGATTCAAATTCACAATTTTCTAACTCATGGAAAGGGCACAGAAGGTCCAAGTGGATATAAAATCCCTGCAGAGTCTTGGGACAATCCAGCTTTCCCTCCATTTTAAGTAAGTTCTGACATTTTTAAATGACTGATCTTTACTCTGGCCTGCACTGACCACACACCTCCATTTAAAACCCACATATCTTCGTTATGACTCAAATAAAGAACTTTATTGAACTAAATTTTAGAATCGTACACCTTGCTGGCTAAATCACCCTCCACACTTCTGCGACATCCATGTCTGAGTGTGTTTTTGTCCTTGAACACCATCTAGTGGCAACTGTCATACCATTTTTAAAAATTAATATCATCATAACTTGTTCAGCTATCTGTATGGTTGAGCTCAGATATGCGAGCCTCTCACAAATGAACACAAAAATAACATTTCAAGGGTTATTAATAATGCGACCATACGTGTCAATAAATGTGACTCTTGACCTAAATCAGGCAATTGTTTTCTAGCTGTGTTCCGACACTTAGCCCCAACAGATACCTGTAATTATGGGAAAGGGTCACCTGGGAAATGCAAGAGAACAATTCCCAGTGTGTGATTCCTCCCTGCCCCCCCCCAGCACCCCCTAACTCAACCCCAACACGCATTCATCTCCGGATGTGGTTTTGATGGCTCGCTCCAGCAGCTGACAGGATAAAATTGCAAGCAGCTAATTAAACGGGCAAGTAGCACGAGGCAGCTTGCTGGTTTCTGTCATGGGGACGAAAAATAATGGCCTGGGAAATTTAATTCGGGTTTAATTTGACACCATCGCGTGGGCAGTCTCACATGAAGGCGAGCGGTTGCATCAAACGACTTTCTGTCTCCACGTTACTTCATTCTTATACTCAACTCGTCTATCCTGCAGTCCACTACAAACGGGATATTCATTAGGGAGACGTTACCTCACTGACTATCTGCCTGGGGGGGGGGGGGGGGGGGCTGTCATAAGAATACGCTTATTGCAGCCCTTTAAGAAACCAGGCAGGTACGCACAGCTAGCTGTAAACTGTGTAATATTTATGTGAATCTAGGAGTTTTTAAGGTGGGGGGGCATAAGAGGGGATATAATTCATACAGAGGGGCCAACATTCATGAGTGACAGGGGAGGGGACCAATCAACAATCAGCTGGAGCCTCTATCTCCGTTGCCCCGCCCCTGTATACTCCACTCATCCCACACCACTTGAATGATGGTCAGTCCCTAGTTTCCTGATACACTGATGCTCTATTCTTCACAACCATAAAAAATGAGTATGGACACGGCAAAGATGTCACACTGAGGTGTTTTCAGCCCAGACAAAAAGTGTCCTGCGGGTATAAAGACCTGAAAGCAGTGCGTAAATGTACTGCAGCAATATGGTTCCTGAGAGTTGGAGCAGAATGAAGTCTACCCTCCCTCCCATCTGCTCTCCCTCCCTCCTTCCAGAGTTCCAGGGTCCTGGTTTTCAGCGCTGGGGGGACGGGACTCTGGCTCGATTGGGGGTCCAATACCAGGCCGGTCACGTGACTTACGACCTCATTGTGGGAACTCATTAGGCCATGACACCCTATGAGAACCCGGCCCATTCCCACCAGTGATGCCCCCCCTACTGACTGGCCGGAAAATCAGGTCATAAAGAGAAATTCCTGGTGCCCCCCTGCCCATTCCATGCAGATAAGAGGGAATGGGGGGGTGGGGGTCTCACAGCCCTGTACTTGTTGGCTTGGAAACGAAGCAGAGACTGGGACAAACGTGGCTTTGTGAGCTGGGGTAGATCAGCCAAGACCATTATGGAATGGCTAGCGACTCCTTTTAAGTGCACACTGTGCTGGGGGTGGGGGCTTTTTTAGGAAATTGACTGGGCCCCCTCTTATCTCGCTTGTTCCATTTGCCTTGAGTGTATGCACAATCCACGAGTCGGGAGCCTGAGTGTGTAAATTACCCCTTCCAGCCATTACAACCTGCTACTTAAGAGTCCTTGTCTGCAGCCCACTTCCCGGAAGCTTCCATTCAGTCGTCTAATCTTGCTGTTTTCATTCTGCATATTAGTCGAATCAGTAAAGTGAATGTTAACAAATTCCTGCTCCCCCTCCTCCCCCTCACTCTCTTTCCCCCCCTTTTTGGTTGTCATGGTGCTGGGTTGGGGGGGGGGGACTCTGGATTAGGCTGGCAACTACACATTGCTCATGATTTGAAAAAAAAAACCAAAAACTGCATTTCTGCACACATCAAAGCGTCGAGCACTCTGGGGGATTAGCCAGCGACGTGACTGCATAAGCTTCTATGTCTTGTGTATATTTACGGCATGTATATGAGACCTCTGCAAAGAAAACGAAATTATCTTAAAAGGCTGGAAATATTCCTTAACAATCTCTAATGACCTCGAAGGGTTTTAGTCGGTAAAGGTGAAACCTACACCTTGGGGTCCTTAAAAAGAGACCGCTGGCGGTCTCGGGCGTAATGCTCTAAGAAAGACATCAGAAAGCAGAATAGCTAACCTATGAAGGACTGGAATTCCCAAAGCAGCCTCTAGGGGTTTAGATCTGAGAGATCGCACAGGACAGCGAGTCGAGCCGGGAGCAGGACGGCGAACCGAGGCCAGAGCTCACCGAGCAGAATGACGATGCAGAGGAGGATGGCCACCAGAGCCCCCGTGCTGAGCCCCACAGGCAGGAAGACGGCCTCCACGTTGCAGGAGAGCAGCGAGCCGTCGGCGTCGCAGCCGCACACGCGGATGCTGAGAGTGCCGGTGCTGCTCTGCACCGGGTAGCCGTTGTCCTCCATCACCACGGGCAGCTGGTAGGACTCCTGGGCGCGACGACGGAAGCCTGCCCTGCGGGTCACGATGCCCGCCGTGTTGTCTGCAGGTAGAGGGGAAGCGCGGGGGTGGGGGCACACGGCACAGTCAGATATGATGTGCATATACCGTAAAGTCATCTGTTAGTGCTGACATTGATTTAACATATTTATTCTGCTAATTAGTTTACATTCATTGCTCCATATGGTAAAAATGGCAGCAGCGATATTAACTACCACTTGAAACCACGCATTTTTGTGGGCGCCCTGAGATTTGCCAGCCCCCTGTTGGCCACAAACAGGCACTACACTGGGGGTGGTTTTTAATTATTAAACTGTTCTCAAGTGGTTTGGCGGTGAGGGTCGTTAACTGCAATAAAATTATCTTCCCTGCTAAGGAGTGTGGCTTCAAGGTTATGCGTGTCACACACGTGTTTCTGGTGCATTTACCTCCCATCACAGAGAGCGATTAATTCACCACAAAACTACGGTCATGTACATCATTTGCTTTCTGCTAATTTCCTGTTGGGTGCAAGGAAATCATTTACAATTCATGACATACTGTGGGCATATCAATATCTGAGTCATATTATATTATATATTACACTAAGTGTAATTGCCCTGTCTTAGCTTAATCACACCCAAAACAGCTGATGAATCATTTTGGGCTGCCCTCAGCGCCAGGCTAACGTGGATGCTACAGGCATTTAATGAAGACGACTTAGGGTGGCCAGGTGTTGTGAGCATGCTCTGACTGGACCCACCAGCAAATGTAGTTCTAGCCAATCTAATTATTTCGCATGACCAGCGACCGTAGCACTATCCAATCCAGCTCTTTCTGATCACATCACCAGTGGACGTAGCTCTAACCAATCCAGCTCTTTCCTGTCACATGATCAGTGGACGTAGCTCAAGCCAATCCAGCTCTTATCTGTCACATGACCTGTGAATGTAGCTCTAGCCAATCCAGCTCTTTCCTGTCACATGACCAGTGAATGTAGCTCTAGCCAATCCAGCTCTTTCCTGTCACATGATCAGTGGACGTAGCTCAAGCCAATCCAGCTCTTTCCTGTCACATGACCAGTGAATGTAGCTCTAGCCAATCCAGCTCTTTCCTGTCACATGACCAGTGAATGTAGCTCTAGCCAAATCCAGCTGGACTAGGCCACAGGATGACCACTTCACAGCTGAGTAGGTACAAAGTCCAGCACGAAATCAGTACCAGTGAAAGCTAGAGGTTTGTACCATCACTGAGAAAGCTAACCTGAAGCAGACTGTCAGGATTTACCTGTGTGCAGTGCCTGTCATGCTCAGCAGCCTGCTGTCGCCCCAAAGGGCAGGATGACTGCTGCTTTCGGCCATTTCAGCTCTGCCAAGATTCCCAATATTACCCACTCACACGCTCCACCTGACCTGCACCGCCTACTGTGGGCATCTCAGAAAGCCGACTCACTTCCGAAGTCCTGGATGGTGAAGTTCTTGTTCTTGATGTCCTCAGGGGGGGATCTGAAGCTAAACGTCTGGCCCACAGGGGACAGGTCCTGGTCCCTGGCACTGATCACCTGGATCACCTGGGGAAAATGGCATTCGACTGTAATTATTCTGGTCTTTCTTCCAGTTAAGGTCATTGTACAGTGGCTCCCTCCTCATGCACTGCATTCTGGGAATGTCCATGTTTACTCTGGACATACTTTGGCATAAAAACTTGGGAGATAATTAAAATGTTCAAACAAACACATGATTCATAAAAGGACAGCGCTCCTCGTGGGAAAACAAACCAGGCTGCCCCCTGGCTGTGGGTTCAAGGCCCCTTGGCCGGCTCCGTAAGGATGCACTTAACCTAAATTACTCCTGTGATAAACTCGGTTCTATAAATGGGTAAAATGGAAGCTGGGGACAGTAACCTCCTTTTTTATTAAAAAAAGAAAATGAATATTGTGCATCAGGATAATTGACCGCATTAATGAATGTCAATGGGCTGTACTTTCATTAAATAATGTAATATAGCCTCTTCTGAACCTTTTTTTAAAAAAAACATATTTATATAAAGTAACAATACATAAATTCACGGGGATGTAAATGAGGACAGCTGGAAATCAGACAAGGCTCCTATGTCCAGACAGTGTACATCAGTGAGCTGCAAGACAGCGTCAGGACAGGAATATTAATGGACACAAAATAATAGTTTTACAAGGTCATTCTCCCTTTAATGGTAAGGATTATGGGTAAATGCAGTCGCATTTCGTTATTGTCTGCCACTATGCATACTTTCAGGGAATATATATTGTTGTTCATTGCTTTGGCACTGAATCTATTGCTCGCTTTACTCATCTGACTCAAAGTTTGACTTTGTGCACTTAGAGCAGCTCACTCAGCCCGACTGCCTCTAACAAAACTTCATCAAACCACGTTCATTTCAGGGAATACCCAAGCTTCAGATATTTAATTTCTGAAATGATCTCCTCAATTTCCCAATTCGGCCTTGCAATTGATTCACTGCTGGAAAACAGTAATTAAAACAAAATGAAAATGTAACTTTTTATGTTGTTTACTTGGAAAGTTCTAATTGACATATTTTAGCATCTAAAAACAACAACAAAAAAAAAGAATTCAAAGGCTCAGTGTTCTGTAAAAACACACTGATTGCAATGAGATCTGATTTAGGGCCAGATGCCCCCCTGCTAGGCTAGCTAATCAATCCCCGCACAAGTTCATGTGAGTCACACTCATTGCCTGCCACGCCTGTGGAGCCCTGTGATTGGCAGGCCCTTGAAATATGACACCTGTGTCGACAACGCTGAGCGACTTCAAAATGGCACTCCAAAGCTCTCGCCCCAGGGTTCATGCTAACCGGCTACACCTGGCAGATACTTCACCGCTCCCTCAAAAGCCAAAACTTCAAAGAACGAGATATTGGGGCATTTTAATGACAAGGGAAGGACACCAGCCCCGGGTGCTTTTTTTGACACCGCCGTGTTTCCAGAAGCTTCTGGCACAGGCGTAGAGGCTGGCATGTGTGTCTGGCAGGGGTTCATCACGCTGCTTTTGAGGGGAATCCCTTTGCTTGACTTCCCCAATAACGGTTACCTGGACAGATTCCATCATGGCTCAGCTCTCCAGTCCTCCCTGATGCCCCCTACCAGGGGAAATGACATCACAGGAGACAGCCTCGAATCGAAAGAGACAAGCTGCCCCTTCCCTCCAACAGCCCCTGACTCCCACTGATGCCCCTTGTCTCCTCTTATTTAACAAAGTGGCACATTTCAGGTACAGGGAATATTAAGCACCAAGTGCTCAGTTCCTTTTCCATAAATAGCTTCCCTTAGGGCTGCCTGTGTATGTCTGTCCCCTAATGGGCCCCAGATTCCTGCTTTCAGCCTCATCATTCCATCGCTGTGTGTCTCCGCTGTTAAATAAATAATAATAAAAAAAGCACTTTGCGATTTGGGATTCACGGCTTGGAATCGAATCTGGCTAGCAGACTGAAGCCTTCCCCTGTTCCGAGATTATGAGATAGCAGCACATGTGTGTATCCTGGGTAAGACACGCAAGCCCAAGAGGGGTGGGAGATATGGTGCTTTGTCTCCTATAATGCATAATGGGCAGTTGACATGTCACCAGTAGGTTGCTGGTTTAAATCCCAGGGTCAGCAGAGTGATTTTCACCATTGGCTCCCTGCGCAAGGCCCTTTATCCCCTGCTGCTCCAGGCAATGGGTGACCTTACTTTCTCAACAAGACACTTTGGGAAAAAGTGTCTGATAAACAGACAAATGTTGCTCAGGCACTTTCAAATTAACATGTAATGTTCTGTCAAAGGCCCGTCTGTTCCACCTAAGAGAGGTGATTACTTTCCACACATCTAGGGTTACCTAGAACCTAAACACAGTAGCTTTATTACACTACAGATTCATTCCAAACACACTGCACCGCTTTTGAAAAGAAACGTCTCTTCTGCTGTGATTTCTGGCTCTTTCCGGTTTAGCCCAGCACTCATTCGCCATGATTGACCCAGTCACCCGCAGTTAGAATCTCATCAACTTTAATCTCCTCCCACTGGCAGCCTTTGGCCAGAACTAAAGAAAGGCAGAACTTCATGTTGTTCTTGGTTGGTAAGAACAAGGAGTGCTCCCCATCTTTATTCGGTTACGAAGCGGAGACATGCTTTTTGGGAGCGGGTAGAACAAAGCACTGTGCAGTGTCCTATGGGACTCGTGATCTACATCCGAGGAACATCTTCACATTGGAGAGTTAAACTCAAAATATTCTTGATATCAGTATTTCTGATTGTAGCTTCTAGTATATCTGAGCATAAAATCCAGTCTATCCAAGAGCAGATTAAAGTATATCTGAGTGTAGCTTCTAGTATATCTGAGCATAAAATCCAGTATATCCAAGAGCAGATTAAAGTATGTCTGAGTGTAGCTTCTAGTATATCTGAGCGTAGATTCCAGTATATCCAAGAGCAGATTCAAGTATGTCTGAGTGTAGCTTCTAGTATATCTGAGCGTATATTCCAGTATATCCAAGAGCAGATTCAAGTATATCTGAGGGCTTATCGGTTTCCCCTCATGCATGACAGAACTTAGTAGATGCTGCCAAAACATCTGCCTTTATATGTAATAATTTGAATGAATTAGCATTTAATTAATTAATATTTCTATAGAGTGTTTCCCAGATACCGATACCTTAGGACTGAAAGCAAAGAGCCAATGCGAAATATCTCACAGCCACCCCCAGGGGGAGCTCTTCTACTGCACTCACTGAATCATTTACCTTGAAGAAGGTGTCCTCTGAGGATGCCTCGGTGGATCACGGTGAATCAGCCTAAAGTTGAGCTTTCAACATTTTACAAGGTAGATAAAGGAGTTTTCTACTGATATTCACACACGGTGAACTAAAACGGACCTACTGAAACACTATCATCTGGGCAGTAAAAGGGCATATTTGTATGTTCATTTTCTGTCCACCAAGATAAGAATAGCCTCAATCCCATCAAAAAAATGGTTGCCTTCTCTACCAATCAGAGCAGACGTCCATCTTGATACATATCTCTTAACAGCCATTGGCTGACACCACAGCCAGGCACAGCAGAGAACAAATTGATTGGCCGAGGACCTCTCCAGTGGCACTTGTTTAATATCAATCTCAGCAAACACGTGCTAGCAATATGTCTATATACACAGGGGTTCACAAAATAACCATCGCAGATAATTAAGTACCGTGGCAGGTGCTTATCTAACGGCTGAAGTCATTCGGGGGGTGTAATTATCAAGATGTATTCCCATCTGTGGTCAGTGCTAAGCTGCACAATAGATACCATCACTTCGGTGGAATGTAATTATCTTTTCTGTGGCGTAACTGATCTATTGTAGGTGCTGAGCTGTGTAATGAATCATCGAGGCTGTGCGATAAATCAAGGCACATGCACAACTGCGCATCTTCCGCACTGCATGTGTATAAATGTAATTTCCCCTTTTCTACGATGATTCCCGTTGTCAATAGCAACTTTCCATTATCGCTAGATCCCTGATTGCGAGCACAAAAAAAACTAAAAAAAAGATGCTTTTTTGCCTTTCTTCTCTAATTATTTCTAACAAAGGGAGATGAATAGATAAGTGTTTGTTTTCTTGCCTGCGAACCTGTACTGGATAAGGAATTGGATGGTGGATGGATGAATGGATGGATTGATGGATGTTGTCTTCAGAAGTCCCATGAAACAAACACACACACACAGACACACACAAACACATTTCTGCTTTTATCTTTGTGGGGACTCTCCATTCATTTCTATGGGCATAACCCTAATCCCAACAAAGACGACCTTAACCCCAACCCAGCCCTAAGCTTAACCATAAGTTACCGAACAAAATACAATAATTTTTTGTTTTTTTTTGATTGCAGTCACAAATTTTTATGAAACTGTTTCCCCTTGTAGGGACCAAAAAAATGGTCCCCCCAATGTTAAAATAACAGGTTTTCATCAGCCCCACAGTGTAATGTATCCACACACACAGACACGCACACACACACACGCGCGCACGCGCTGATCTACCTGTCCCGCCTTGGCGTTCTCACAAACGAAGGCCTCGTATGGCACGGCCAGCTCTGGTGGAAACTCGTTGACATCCATTACATGGACTGTTACAGCAACCTTGCTGCTCAGGATTGGATTGTCTGAATGAATATATATTAAAAAAAAAAACAAAGAAAACACTGCATCAATACATGTTCAATTTATAACAAAACTGCACACATATAATAACTATTATTTTAACGTAGGATTTCAAAAATGGGGTACAAAGAGACTATCAAGAAATGGTACAACACTGCCCCCTTTTGATAATACTCAGAACTGCAGCCTGGAAGAATGACCGCACCTATCCATGGAAATCCCAGAGGTACTGTACCACATTTCCAGAAGGCGGATCTGCAAGAATGACTATTGTAACTCTTCGAGTACTTCCTGTATCTTATGGGAGATAAATGCCAGGAAAAAAAGAGTTTGAGCCAGGTCAACTGAAACACTTAAATGGTTTGGAACCGAAAGCCTGGAGGTTATCATGGGACCGTCGAGAAGGGCATGAGCAGAGATGGAGGCCGACATGCTTTACAGCCAAAATAATAAGTACACTATTTATAGTGACTGAAAGCTTGAATTCCTGTTAAGCCCACTCAGGCTGGTTACCCAGCCATCTGTCTGAATTGGCTATCAATCTAATTCAATCTAAGGACTGGCAGTATGTGCCCTATAGGGGGCGCCATGCCAATATCCAATTTCAAACATTATATAACTGGCTGTAAATAATTGACATCGTTTCTGCTTAGTGTTAAACCACAAATTTAACACCAAGGTTTCGTTCATAAGTCCAGCTCTGGCCATGTCACCACCAGTGGGCACTGCACTGAAAAGGTTGAAGACAGCGGCGGCTTAAATACTGCGGTAACTGTACTCACTTCTGATTGGCTAAAACCTGACAGTGATTGGCAGCACAGAAGTAAGCCCACCCACTGTACATGTCATAGGCTCAGATGCCCCGGGGAGTAGAAGTGCCCCAGCATCCAGTACCATGAAACCCCCCCCCCCCCCCCCCCCTCCAGCCCCAGCCAGTGAAAGGAGCACTCAGTATTCCTCCAGATGTCCGCAGTGGGGGAGTCAGCTATTTGACAGCATGGGGGTTCCTCATGCAATGATATAGGGGGAGGGGGTGGCGTTTTCACAATAGCGTAACACTAATATACTGCGGCTCACTCCCAAAGCTGTCAGGGGCTTAAAGAGCGCAGCCGTCCGGGAAGGACAGCGGGCTAAAAAAGTGCCTGATTTAAAAAAGAAAAAAAAAAACCTGCATGACAGCGAGGGCCTTCTGTTGTACCCTGAAAGCAGGTTTTTATATAAAGCCATTCCAAACACACAGATGCACAGGAATCTGTCTGGAAAGGACCCGGAAAATCCGGAGAACAGTTAATTATCACAGAAATTCATTATGTAATCTCAGCGTAATCTAACAGATGAGAGAAGATACACAGTCAGCATTGAAGGGAACTTCCACACCTCCTCCAGCAGAGGGCAGCAATATGCTCACAAAAAAAAACAACCTATCCAAGCATTAAACTCCTGTTGTAGATGGCATGATAACCAGCAGCAAGAAAGTAGAAAATAAGTCACTTTACATTCTGCTCTAGAGCTTTAGCACTTTTAAACGGCACTGGATACAAGCGCTGAACAAATAATGCAGACTTATTTACTCCAACGCAGCTCTTAAAATTTGAGCCTTCCTAGTCTTTCAGTGTCACTCCACATGTACGGCGTCGAGCAGAGCCGTGCCGAATCTCCTCGGCCACCAGGCCCCCTGGGGGATTCTCCCAGTATATCCTTCAGAAAGGCGCTTCATTAACAGCGTGAGACATCCGTCTGTATTAAGCGCGCGGAGTGAAGTTCACCCTTTATGAGTCTGTCGGCAGAAGGTCAGCAGCAGAGGGGATTAATCACGTCGACGTGCCCGGCTGCCTCTTGCCTGTAGGGGGCGCAGGAGCTGCACTGAAAGCATTTCCTCTCTGGGTAAGAAGTGTTTGGTTTTCCTAGGGGTGGGAAGTCACCCGCAATCAGACCCCCGCATACTCCCAGGGGCAGTGATTAGTCCCACTCAAACTGCACATTTGCATAAGGTCCCTGGTGGGTCCCCTGTTGACCACAAATAGTCGCTACACTAAATAACAAACAGATTTTATTTATTTTTTTAATCGGATGATGCCATTTAGCTAGCTATGATCTTCTGACTGTACTCACTAGCTATTTATTTAGTTGTTGAAACATCTGGGAGGTCCAGAAGTAACGTTCTGAGTGGTGCCCCTGAAACAACAATCCCATCCTGCACACATCTTCAATCTAGATACCAGAGAGTCACACAGCACAGGAGTTAGTCACCGAGTGCAGAAAAACCACGCAGTGCCAAAATACCTATGCCTGTCTCGGATAACCGGGCAAACCCCACATGTAGAGGCCTGGTCTCTCCTTCATAGGGGGGGGGGCATTCCCCCACCTTGATGAGAGCAGGTCCCTGTGTGTTTCAAATGCATCCACAGCCACTGCGTTATCTGCTACGTTAATTTATCTTCCGTCTGCGTGATTTTGGCCGAGCATGGTGCTGTGGCGGAACTGCGACTTACGCAGACCCAGCGAGGGCGTGATTATCAGTCACAAACTAGCGCTGTTACTTCAGCATAGGAGTCAGCGCGTCTGGGAATCCTTCATGAAAGCTCCGTCTCTTCATCGCACCGCTTGGAAGAGCGCGTACGGGGTTTATGCGCTAATCTTACACACGCGGCCAAATCCCTCCGCAAACACACACATATCCATGAATCTGGCGGCAGAAATTCACAGACACAGCAGCCGCGTAACCAGTCCCTGCCTGCTCTTCACAACTCTTTGCTGGTAGGAGGAACAAACTAAAGCAGATCTGTTACAGGACAAGTCTAAGCACCTTGGATTGGGAAAGGTTGTCTACACCGGCTCCATACTAAATAACAAGACTGACCTTCTCGTGTACCATCACCTCTCCTCCTTCGTCCTCCCTCATCCTCCATCATGACTCTCTTTCACCCATCACTCTCTCTTTCCATCCCCTCACTGCTCTACACATGTTCCTGCCATTTATTTGACCCACCATTGGCTTCTAGACGCTGTCTGTACCCCCTCATACTTACTAACTTTCGTTGCCACCACGGAGATAGTGTGCTGGGCCGTAGTCTCCCTGTCCAGCAGGTGGTTGGTGGAGATCGTGCCCTCCACCGGGTCGATGGCGAAGTAGCTGTCCAGCTCATTCTTCCAGTCGATGGAGTACCTGATTAACGAAGAGAGGAAAGGCTTATACTCTGCTTATGACAAGCAACAGGTTTTTTCAGGGGATAAATGCAAAGTGTTGGTCAATTTCGTTCGATAAATCAATAAATCTGTCAATCCCTCCATTCATTCAGCCACCCAGATAGAAGTGTCTACCAGTCATCCGTATGGTGTTTGACCGCCCAAAGGTCCAACACCACCCAAAGGTCCAACACCACCCAAAGATACAACAGCACAAGTGTGCCCTGAACTAGGAATCCTGAGGTCGTACGCAGGCTCTGGCGCCACCCGCAGGCTGTTAAAGATTCGTTACGAACCTTGTACTGATATTTAGTCAAGGTGGTGATTTAGATTAAAAATGTAGCAGGTGTGTGCCAGACGATCTCATTAGCTTTCTCTGTGTCAGACGGAAGCTTAACCCACATGCACCGAATTAGAAAAAGCACATAAATCCGGTAACCACAAAGTCCTGGGTTCGAGTTCCAGGTCAGCCACTAGTGCCAGCCAGCCAGCATAGCGAAATTCTCTACACTACAATAAACTCTGTGAAAGGCTAAATGAATCGCCATTCAGGCTGTAAACACTTTCTGTTCCCACGTGGGACTTTAAGGGCAGCTTTTAACCGGAGAAGTTCTCGTCAGCAGAAGGAATCTCACTCAAACCTCTTTAATCCCACATTAACCCCTCCAGCAAACGCGTGCCTTTGTTTTCACTCTGAAGCTCCCGGTGCCCTGGAGCCCTTTAGTTGCCACCGCTATGGCTGCCGAGCTTCTCGCTGAATTGCATTTAGCTAAATCATCCGAGCCTTTCAAAGCACCTGCTTCACAGGCGCCCCCTAGAGGCAAAGCCTTTAGCTATTTCAAGCATTCCTGTTCCCTGGATACTTATTTTTCATTAGAGAATATCAAACGCATCCCGACTTGTTACAGTTTCTTGACTAATTATTTAATGGACCCCACACCATTTAGGATACGTCTCTTCTTTTATGTGATCTTCGGTTAATTTAGAAAAGTCTTTGCCGCACAAACAAGCCAAGCTCCCGATCTGCATGCTATTTACATAAAATCAGACTTAAAATACAAACAGTTTTCACAATGCAGTAACTTCTAACAGAATTTAATTATGTACTGAGTAAGCAGCTAAAATTCCCAGGAGCCCCCGAATGCATTTTGGCGGGAGATGTGCACACCCCACCCTCCCGCCCCCACCGTGTTAGTGTGCAGAGGGTTACATCATCTCAAAGCGACTCCGATTCACGGGGCCGTGACCTCCAGAGACACCTGCTGAGTGCCAGGGCCCCCACGCAATTCCAGACTGCGCAGTCTGTGGCTGCGATCTGCTCCCCATTTTACACTTGACATTCTGATTCATTTAGCCAACACTTTTATCCAAAGCAGCGTGCATTTCTGAGGAAGCAGGGTCCAATGGTGACATCACTCTTCTGGCCCTGGGATTTGAACCACCGACCTTCTGATTATTGGCACAGCCATAACGTTTTGCCCAAGGCAGTTCAATAAGAAAACTTCAGTTGCAGTCATCCTTAATTCCCTCTCTTCCTTTACCCTATTTGGATCCATGTAAGCTCCAAATTTTTCTACAAAGCTCTACAAGAGCAACATATAAACGGATCTGATTTAAAGAGAAATTACCATATTCAACCTAAACACTTACCCACAAAATTAAGTGAAACAGATTTGTGTACCTAGATGATTATTACAGCGATTAATCCCAGAGCTAAATTCCTCCCTCCAAGGTACTCACATCTGAGGATGTGAACCTGCAAACTTTCATGTGTAAATTCTGGATCGGTGACACAACCTAAACTAGTCCTTCCTAAAGGATTACAACAGGTCATGTGACCTATGCCTGCAGGGTTACGGTTCACACTTTTCCAGGGTCCGACAAAGCGTGGCTTCAGGAATAATTACCCCCAAGTTCACACACCACATGGTGTGATCCGATTTCCACACCTCCCGCCTTAAATGTCTAGAGACACTGTTCTGTAGGAAACCCAAATACCAAGCGGAACAAGGCTCCATAATCCTCAGCACAAAGCTGGAACGGGGGATTTTCCTTTCGAGGTTTTGGGAAGATGTGATCCACTCCTGGGAGGAAGCCAGACATCTTACCGGCACTCCCTGAGCTACTCCCACAAGGCCACAGGCAAACCGGTGTGCAGGAATTCAAACGGGCATTAATGAGAACGCCCTTGGAGCCTAAACCGAGGACCCCAATAAAGCATCTGCTCTTTACAAATAACAGATTCCGCAGAGCGGGGAAGCAGGCTATGCAAATAGCATGGCGTCATTAGGGAAATAAGATCTGTGACAAGATATGATAAAGTCAGATTCAGACAGGCTAACATTCGATTTTGCCCCTGAATAAGGCCCTCATCGCGTATGCCGATGTCAGAGCCGGAATTGTAGCAAATATTGCTTGTGGCTAGAATAAATCTGCTTTTCGAAATATCTTCAAATATCCGAGAGCCTGTAGAAAAAGTTCTCAGGCTGAAATATCTTGACATATTAATACGGGTGCCTTCAGCTCGAGCTTCTGTGGCACACGGAGTAGCCCGTCAGGCAATACATGGGACCGGCTCGTGACACGACATTTACATAGGCGCACATGAACAGCACGGGAAATGTCAGCATCCAAAGGGGGGGCGGTGACACCTTCCGTGGACGATGAAAGCTGTCTAGGTCTCAGAATCCAGGTCCTGTCGCATTTCAGATTGTCAGATTGTCAGAGTGAGCGAAAAGGGTTCATCAAAAATCATCAGGTTGAAAAGTTTAATGCCATTATTTCCATTTGTATCGCACGTTCCCGCAGAAACTTCTGGCTTGAAGTAGCCTACTTTAAGAAAAATCCCATTCTTCTCTATAAAATGAATAAATAAACACAGGGGAGAGGAAATGTCCGTCGTCTGGGGAGCGTGCCTCTGAAAAGAACAGTAATAAAAGAATAAAAATAGAAGCTGTTGGGTGACATTGGTGGTCAGAGTACTTTAAGGAGCAGTGAGCATCCAAACCGAACCTGGGGAAAAAACAATGCCCATTAGAGTGTCCTGAAAAATGTAACAACCACGGAAAAGGGTGGGGGGGTGGGGCTATAGCAGATAAAAAGGAAAAAGAACAAAGCGTCTTTAAGAGCCATCAATCCGAGGGCTGCTTTAAGCCATAAAAAATTTACAGTAAAACAAATATACTGCAAGAAGCATCAAACTTTTCTCTTTCGTTGATTACTTTGTTTTGTCTGCTCCAATATTTAACTTTTTTATAGAGCTGGATTCGTGCTGCTTTTTTAAAAATCAGTATATGGGGTTCCTGCTGCTCTCCTTGGGGGGGGTATTCTGGAGCGTGGGGGGGCGGGTGTTGTTGACATATTTATAGATTATTCTTTGTCCTCCTGCTCCATCGCCAAGGCGGGAGATGGTGCGTTTGCAGGTGTTTCGGCGGCCCCAGAAGCAGCGGGACACCGGGAAGGGCCATGCCTCGATGGCAGGCGTCACGCAGGGCCACATCTGCAGTCTAGCGGCTTCCAGGGCTGAAGCCCATCCATCCTCTTGGAAATTATGAATGGCAGAGCACTGAATTAAATACAGATTCCTATGCAAATTCAGGCAGCTGTCAGAATAGCAGACAACATGTCAGTCAAGCATTGGATATTGTAATTAAAAACTTCAGGCATAATTCTGAGGGTTATTTGAGTCGAACGTGTGGATATCTGATACCGAGAGCTGGCACGGTCTCTGGCCCTCACCCTGAGATCTTTCTACCTGCAAGCCCCAGCAGTGCTTAAGAGAAAGCAGGATCCGGCAGTCCCTGGAGCAACTGCGGGGTTAGGGGTCCTGCCCAGGAGCCGAACAGCGAAATCACTTTGCCTACCCTGGGATTTGGGCCCGCAAAATTCTGATCACAAGCAGTACTCCCGAACGGATTATCAGAATGATCCGAAGCTCGAGCGGCACCTACAGGCCAGAGAGAGTCCGGTGCGGCCGCCGGAGGCTGATGTACTGATTACGGACCTGATGCGGCATCCAGGGAAGTGCCTGTGAAACCCTGCTGTCCTGACAGCCCTCTGTGGAGCTACAGACAGTCCTGCAGAAGAGCGGGGCAGTACGTCATGCTGGACGTCACACGGTGAGCCATACAAGCCTGCCTCTGAGGTTTTTTTAGATGATAATAATCACGTGTTTGGGGGAAGAGGAGGGGGTAGGACAGTGTGCCCATCACATGCCAGATTAATAATGATGATGATGATGATGATGATGATACACAATGTGCCCTGTGATGGACTGACATCCCACCCAGGATGTACTCCAGTCTTGTACCATATACTACCTGGGATAAGCTTCTATGATGGATGGATAGATAGATGGATGGATGGATGGATGGAACAATGACAAACCTTGTGAGCATGAGTGTATATGTCAGGATGTAACATCATGTTTCTTCATCCTGTGAGACGTTTCTGAGACAGTGCACACTGTCAGAGATGGAAGGGGTCTGTAGACCCCCCAGTCGTTACCTCACGGTGCTGCCCCCTACGTCCAGGTCCTGGGCGGTGACAGCCCCAATGATGATGCCCACGGGCGTGTCCTCATACACGTTCATGCCGTAGGCCGGCATGCTGAACACTGGCGGCTCGTCCACGTCCAGCACGATGATCTTCACCGTCGCCGTGTCCTTGAAGGGCCCTGCGCTGTGGAAGCGCGGATCCAGATGTGGGTTCGAGGCCTCGACTTTGAAGGTATACGCCTTCTTTGTTTCGTAGTCCAGGGGCTGAAAGAGATGGGAGGTACACGTTTGATCTGGGGAGATGGGATAGCGGACCAAACCATGTGACTCACGGATGGGGGCAGACAGACATTTGGTGCAGTTTGGTTACAGGGGCCAAACCAAAGCAGAGCTGATCTAAATCAAATACAGGTGGTACAGCCCAGTAAACAATTCACAATGAAACCCCGATCGAGTAATGTGTCTCGTACGAAACTGGCGGGTTCCTCTCCCTGTTAGCGGTAAACGCTTATGGTGAATGCACGCAGGGCACCATTAAACGTGAACAGCCTCTACGGTTTTGTCGATGGAGGCCACTAGCTTAAGACGTTCATCAGTTACATCTCAAGTGAGGGAAAAAAAAACTGACGAAATCTATAAATATGTGCCGCAGTACAGACGCCCCTCTACTGAGGGCGTGAATCTGCGATGTTCGGACCCTCAGGAACAATATAAAATCAGCAGATTACTTTTAATTGTTAACTGTTATTAAATTCCCGGAAATGATCCAATTTCGTTACAATCATGGAGGGGAAAAAAATCCTTTTTTTTTTTATTACAATCACTGCAAGACAAATAGAAAGGAGACATTCCTACAATTAAATCTTTAATCCCCCCCCCCCCCCCACCCCCAAGGGACTGTAATTGCAGGGTAAGAATAATGTGTTTCCTCATGGGTTGCCAGACTGTGCACTTTATTTAAAGCCAACCTAAGGCACTTCCCTGCGAAAGCGCAGAAGCCCATTTTATTTAAATTGAACACTTGTCCCATGGGGAAGCCTCCAGAAGCTATTTTACGGTTACTCGGCAGAATAAAGACTTTTAATTTTAAAGGTCACTCTGTCAGAATTGATCTCACCAGCTGTCTTTTTCGCAGTTCCCTGATGTGGGTAATGTTCAGCCGCACTGATTTTTGCACAATAAATAAGTGCTGGTCAGTTAATTATCCATCTGATTTGCTGAGCCTTAATCTAGAATCGGCCACACCTGCAGACACACACACATACACTGACTTGGTATCTGTATCTTCACCATAATCCCTACCTAGCCCTACCATTAACCATAAGTAACCAAATAAATTGCGAGCCTTTTGGAATTTTCAGTTATTTGACTGCAGTCACAGATTTTTATAAAACTGAGTTTCCCCTAGTGGACCGAAAAAAACGTCCCCACAAGGTCAAAATAACAGGTTTTTATTAAATTGTGGGGACATTTGGTGCCGACAATGTAAAATATACATGACAACACACACGCACGTACGCACGCATGCACACACACACGCACACGCTCCCCTGTTTCAGCAGTTAGCTCACGGAAACGCACACACAATGGTCACATTTAAGTATGAGGACACAGATTGAGACAGGGAGAAAAATCACACAAAACACATGCACTCACACATACCCAGATATATACACACACACACACACACACACACACACACGTGCAGGCAGTGTCCCGTACAGCCCTCGAGTCCTCTCCATCCTGTACCCGCTTGGCAGCCCCGGGGGGAGTCCATTAACAACTCCAGAACATCTGTATCCTGAGGTCCAAACTCGTACGCTTCATTACCCCGAGCAGGACACATCGTGGTGCAGGTACAGGGGGGGCACCTGGAGCTGGTAGGACAGACCGAGTCAAAGAGAGGTGAGACAGTGACTCTCAGAGACTGTAAAATCACCTGGGAGGAAATCCGACTCCGCCTTACCCAAGAGAAACACAGAACACGCTAAACGCCAGGCATAGACACAAAGCTGGCAGGTGCGGAACAAAGGTTGTGTGAAAGAAAGGGCTCTACTAACTTCACGCTTAAAACCGGGTTTGACACAGCTAGGATCATGTGAGCCCTCTGCCGGGACTTCCCTGTGAACAGCGGTCAAATAAATAAAGAAGAACATTTAAAGAAAGAATAACTCAATGTGCCGTGTGAGGAAAATGTGAAACTCTGGAGGAATTTCTTGTTATGCTGCTGTTGGTCTTATGAAAGCTGTGAAGAAACCCAGGAGAGCAGCATAGGAAGCAGGCGGTGTGGTGATTCAGGTGCTGAAAGTCCACAAAACATCACAGCAGAGGAAGCAGTGGTGTTCAGTACCATATGTGTGGGGCCCCCTGTTGGCAACAAACAGTCACTACACTAAATACTAAAACAAACATTACATTTCTTTCTATAATTTAGCTACTTGCTTCCTATTTATTTATTTTGTTTTTGAAACATCAGGGGGATATTTGTGAGTGGGGCACCAGAAACACCAAATTTGCCCCTGTGCCTATGTACAGGAGACAAAGGCTGCCCCCTGCTGGAGAGTCATGGCTCTGTGGGAAATGTCTCATTGACAATCAGGCTATACAAACTCAGTTATAAAGTAATCACCACACGTTTGCTTTGTCTTGCTTTTTATTTTCGGCGCATGTTGTCAGACTGTGTCTCGGGGAGAACAAGCTATCTCGGGTTCGGGGGGTGGGGGGCGGGGGGGATGGCTACCTTGTCACTTTGCCAACGGCGGCAGTGGCGGCAGAGACGACAGAGCTGAAAGATGACTGAACGGATCGCTCGCTCCGTCTGACACCAAAACACACCCCCTCCTCCGCCACCAAGAGGAACGGGGGATGCTTGACATCTTGTTTTGTCCACTTACTGGGACATCCGTCCATCGTGATTCTGATAAACTGTTCTAATGCAGTTGAGAGGGGATCACCTCAAAAACAGCAGCCTGTCAGAGCTGCAGATGTCTACTTGGGGGGCTATTTTAGACAATTATATAGCAAGAACAGTGGAAGAACACTATAGCCCACAAATTTTAACAAAGAGAACGACGCAGGATGCCACCTTTTCCAGCACTATTTGTCAGAGGTGGTAGCCCCACAGCAAGGTACAAGGGCTTGCCACGGAACACCTCACGACTTCCTATAACTCGCAGACTTCTCAAAGAGTTGGCGAAGGCGCTCCTCAAAGGTCGTGTACTTGAGCTCGTAGGCGGCGGGTTGTAGGAGACTGCCGGTGGAGTGAATTATAGTGTTTGCGAGCTCGGCCAAAAAAAAATTGGGAAGGAGGCAACTATCATGGACTTGCAGCTCTTCACTGGTGCTGAATATAAATCGCCTGCGGTTGGGTAGAGGTGAGTTCGAGGAGATAAACAGCAACCCCAACAGCTTCTCTGCCGTGCGCTGCCATTGATTGGTCACTAATGCCAAAACAGACCAATGCATCATTGGGGGAGACAAGCGTTAGTTAATCGGCGGTGCCGTACGACGGCCAGGCGAGGCGGCTGCGGACTGAGATATGGGCCGCATGCAGACACCAAGATCTGCAAAGCAAAACCCGAAGGCGATAATGCCAGAAGAAAGAGTGAGCAAGGTGACTACTGTCTTAGCATGAATAAAACCTGGATAGATAGCAAGCAAGGTGGCTAATGTATTAGCATGAGTAATACCTGAAGAGATGGCGAGCAAGGTGGCTAACGTATTAGCATGAGTAATACCTGAATAGATAGCAAGCAATGTGGCTAACGTATTAGCATGAGTAATACCTGAATAGATAGCAAGCAAGGTGGCTAACAAATTAGCAAGAGTAATACCTGAAGAGATAGCGAGCAAGGTGGCTAACAAATTAGCAAGAGTAATACCTGAAGAGATAGCGAGCAAGGTGACTAATGTTTTAGCAAGAGTAATACCTGAAGAGATAGTGAGCAAGGTGACTAATGTTTTAGCATGAGTAATAACTGAATAGATAGGAACCTAGGTAGCTAATGCATTAGCATGAGTAATACATGAGGAGATAGACACAAAGGTAGCTAATGCATTAGCATAAGTAATACCTGAGGAGATACAAACCCTGGTGGCTAATGCATTAGCATGAGAATTACCTGAAGAGATAGCGATCAAGGTGGGTTATATATTAGCATGACCATAGTCACCCCTTCACTTTCACGAGGGTTAGGGGTGGACCATCCCCGCAAATGTGAAAATTTGTGAATAATATTTGGGCCCCTTATTTAAAATGCAAAATTATCAGCACTGCAAAAAAAAAAAAAAACTTCTGTGAGAAATGCGAGATTTGCAGTGTACCCAGATTATTTATTTATTTATTTATACATAACAAAATTAACTTTTAATATTAAATAAAGAGTATGCACTTATGCAAATAAATATAAAACAACACCAATATTAATATACTACATGATTTTATGAGATCCAAATTACTTTCAGTATTGTTTATATATTTTTGGCTTTCGCGCTGTCTACATTTTTCTGTGATCTTCTGGCAAGCTCCAAAAATATTCCAAACTAATTATCCATAGCCCAGTTGTGAATATCTGTAACCATAAATGTCAAATTTGTAAATCTGGAGAGGCAACTGTAATACCTTATGGGCAAGAGATAAATGTGGCTAACATGTCCATCCATCCGCCCATCCATCCATCCTCTGAAAACGTTTGTCCTATTCAGGGTCGCGGGGGTCCAGGGCCTAATACCTGAATATATGGCAACCAATGTGGCTAATGTATTAGCATGAGTTGGGGTAAATCAAATAGAGATTAGGGGGAAGGTGATTGGTTGGAAGCAGCCAATCATGGACTTGAGCACTATCAGAATATCCCATTCAGGATGATTTGGGTATAAATCTGAAAGCAGAAGATAAATACATTTTGTTGAATATAAAGCCGCGGAAAAAATTAAGAGACCACTCAATATTTTTAAAGAAATCTGCATTTTTAAATCCTGGTTTAATCCTGGTTCTGCTGGCATAAGGCTACACTGAGCAACAGGATGCTTCCAGGTTCAAAATTTCTAAGACAGCAGTATGCAAGAACAAGGTGAAGCAGGAGATACTGGTAATGACTACAAACCAGCCAGGTAAAGGGCGGAAGTGACATTCTAATGCCAGTGATGACTGTTAACTTATCCGACAGTTTCTCATGAATCCTTTCCCATGACATCAAGTCACCGTCAACGGGTAACATTAAGTGCAGGTGTGAAGTGCACTGCTAGGACAGTTTGTATCAGGC